ATGACAAAGACAAGAAACATGTAGCAAATTAAACATATAATTTAATATAATAAAAATAATATGAAAATAATCTAAAATAAAATAACAAAAATTAATATTTTTAAATCTAAAACATAAGATAATACCATAAATAAAACTAGATTAAGGCCAAAGTAAAAGATATGACTGTTAAGTGAAGATTCTTGCGGTGTGTCTTGCGGGAGGGAGTTCCACTGTTGCGAATGAATACATTGAAAGCAGCCTCTGCGCTTCTTTCATGCTTTGCTCTTGAGTTCCTGAGTTTGATGATCTTAGGCACTGTTGTGGACCATATTGAGTTAGACATTCAGACATATAAGAAGAAACTCATCCATTAATGACTTGAAAAACAAATAAAAAAAAAGCTAAATTGTAGTTGGTATTGAAGTAGAAGTTGGTGAAGTGCTTCCAGTACTGGAGTAATGTGTTCAATCTTCTGTGTTCCAGTAAGAACTCATGCTGCTGCATACAAGCTGTAGTTTGTCTATAGATAGACAAATACACGAGAGAGAGAGAGAGAGAGAGAGAGAGAGAGAGAGAGAGAGAGATATGCTGGAGAATGGAAGTAAAAGGAATAAAGAGATGAGGGAGAAATAGAAAGCGATGTGTGCTCCCCTGGTTAAGGTGCTTATTTGTCAGCATTGATCAACCCATTAGGAATGTGTTCACAGAGGCATATTGGTTTTTGGAGGCCAAAGGGTGAACAAGAGAGACAGAGACGAAGGAGGGAAGAGGTTCAGAGTTTTCTACTGGGACTCTGCCGGAGGAAAATATATATATATATATATATATATATATATATATATATATAATAAAATATACATTATGACCACCTCCTTGTTTCTATGCTCATTGTCCATTTTATCAGCTCCACTTACTATATAGGAGCACTTTGTAGTTCTACAATTACAGACTGTAGTCCATCTGTTTCTCTGCATACTTTGTTAGCCTCCTTATACCCTGTTCTTCAGTGGTCAGGACCCCCATGGACCCTCACAGAGCAGGGACAATTTGGTGGTGGATTATTCTCAGCACTGCAGTAACACTGACGTGGTGGTGGTGTGTTAAGTGTGTGTTGCGCTGGTCTGAGTGGATCAGATACAGCAGTGCTGCTGGAATTTTTAAACACCTCAGTGTCACTGCTGGACTGAGAATAGTCCACCAACCAAACATATCCAGCCAACAGTGTTCTGTGGGCAGCGTCCTGTGACCACCAATGAAGGACTAGAGGATAATTAGCTCATACTGTACAGCAAGAGGTGAGCTGTCGTCTACAGGGTGGACCAACAATGCAGGTGCGTCTAATAGAGTGGACAATGAGTGGACACAGTGTTTAAAAACTCCAGTAGCACTACTGTGTCTGATCCACTTGTACATATATATAAATCCCTCTCTCTCTCTCTCTCTCTCTCTCTCTCTCTCTCTCTCTCTCTCTCTCTCTGTCTCTGTCTCTGTCTCTGACAGAATCCCACAAACCCTTTATTAGCCGCTTTAGATTACTCACAGTGTTTAGATCAGTGCGAGAGCGCTTCATGATCAGGTTGAGATTAAGTCCTGCCGTGTGTGTGTGTGTGTGTGTGTTACAGAAGGAGTAATAGTGAGTATGTATGAGTATATGTGTTGCATTTCTCTCCTGGGGTAGAGCGGTGTGTCTTGCCCAGTCTCTGATGAATTCATCTAATTAACTGAGCCTTGATCTGCTGGTTAATCCTTTGCTCTGTAATAAGGGATTAAAATGCTGCTTAAACCACCTGCTGTTACTGAACTGCCAGACACTGGCTGTACACGTGCCTACAACTACTCATCCATGAGTCCGTGTGTATGTGCACATGTGCCTGTACAGTTTGTGTTTTCACTGTCCTCAAAACTATTCTCATCTCTGAGAGGGGAACTTTATAGTACAATGGTCACATCATGGAACTGAATTTTCATCATTTATTTTAAATAAAAGATGTGATTTGATGTAATTTGTAAATGTTGTCAAAGTTTCAGAACATCCAGTTCATTCCTCAGTGCATACAGTCTACATATAGAATCTAAACTGAAAAAGCAGCACTTTTTTAAATGATTGTTTTTCTGATGTCACAAAAAACTACATCTATCAACCCATTCAGTCTAGAGCAGTTTATCTCTGCCCATTCATAATGAAGTTATAAGGAGTGTGTCAGCCCAAACTGCTTTTTGAATTAGACGCAAGAACAAGAAAAGTGGTCATTTACATATGAGTCTGCGCAATAATGAAGGTAGCCTGTTTAATTCAAATGGATAAAGGGCAGCTGAAATTTCAAGTGATATACAATAAAACAAAATGTGTAAAAATTGAAAATTAAAAATGTTCATGCCATTGTAATCCAAATTCATCATATGTCTAGATATTTATTACTTGTTTTAAAGTTGATTCAATCATTTTTTCAAAATTTCTGCATTATTCAATGTGCAGTCATTCAGAGTGGTTTGGTGTGAAATGCTTCATTCAGGAGAAATTTACCAACTCAGAATTGTTCAAAGTGGTGGTGATAGGAACCAGACATCTGAAGAGTTTACTGCCTGTAAACACTCCCTCAAAGAAAGTTATTACGTGAAATGGTTACGAAACATCGCCTGACCCTTCATGGTGGTACATGTAGGGCAAAACAGTACTCAAAGAAAATTGTTGGTATTTTTTTACCACTGTTTTACTTTTGTTGAAATTAAATGTAGTGAAATGGTCAAATTACAACTACAAATTACAATTCTGCACATTTTAATACTGTTCACTTCGCTGAATTTTACATGTTATTTATATACCGCCACGGTGTTGTATGCGTGTGTGTGTGTGTGTATGAATATATGTATATATATGTGTATATATATATATATATATATATATATATATATACACACACACACATATTGTTTTATGCATTTATCATTTTTTTCATTTTTTTATTTCCAATTAAATATAGGGTTTATATGATTTGCACATAATTGCATTCTGTTCTTATTTACATTTTGCGCAACTTTTTTGGAAACGGGGTTCTATATAATACATATATATGTGTGTGTGTGTGTGTGTGTGTGTGTGTGTGTTAAAATAAAAATTGTGAAATAGAAATCAGAGCTAATTTCTTTACTTTTAAAAACTACTCTGAATGACTTTGTTTACATCTCAATACTTACATTACATAGACAATTTGAAAAATTCCCCTTTAAGTACATTTATTTACTGAAATTATCTCATTACACTGACAGATCATTTTAGTATCTTCAAGCATTAATTCTAATGATCAAAATTCTCTGCCAGGGCTGTGAGATGATTTCACTTGATAAAATACTTTACAATACTTTGAATACATACAAATGTCATGATAAGAAATATTAGATATAATGAGTACGTTTGAGGGGCAAGATATTTTTTTAGAGTGAAAGCTCTGAGTTTCTAATGTTTGAAAAAAATATACATATAGAGGAGAAGACTGCCATTGGATGAATACCAGGATTGTCACAGGAAGGGTTGAAGGTGTAACTGGGCGTTGGCTGACTGGCGGCAGCCAGGGGCAGCGGGGAAAACTTTTTGTCACACTTGCTAAAAGAGGACATTAAAGTGGGACAAGGGAGAGTGGTGAGGGGGGCACAGGGGGGCTTGTAAAAAATCGGAGCTTTTCTTGAACCTCATTGGGTGCACAATGAAAAAGGGGAAATGGGGAGAAGGGAAGATGCCGTGTGCCAATTCGCTGGACCAACGGGCTGCCAGCCCATTCTGCCCCGTTGCTTAGCAACTCCTAGTGTACCCTGGGCAGCTTAATGACTCTTGTTGCCGCAGCGACTCGGAGGATTCTAACGGGGCAGATTCTGGGAGGTTGGCGACCAATCATGTGAGATTAGAGCACTGAGACTGACTAATCAGCAGGCAGGGGCCTGATGACCTTAAATGAACTCCAGCCAAACAGTACCTCTGCTGCTCTGGTGTAGTCCATTCATTTCTATAAGTTTTAGACGTGTCTAACACTAAAAACCTCTTACTGTTACAACAAATGTAGTGTCTTACAATAAATGTCACAAAATGTATTTCTCACAATGTACTCACACTATATACCATATATTCTCATAGCACAGAGGGTGTCTAGTCTATGAGGTGATCTAATGACGTTATTTGTAACCATGCTGTATTTATCAGTGTATAGTGTGTCCACTCTTTGCCTTTATTACAGCTTCCATTGTAGTCAAGAGACTTGTTTTCAGTTTTTCAAAGAAATCTTCAGGGATGTTTTTCCACACTTTTGAAATTTAGTCTTAGAAGTTGTTTGCATTTTCTGCCTTTCACAATCCACATAATCCTGAACACATTCGGTGATGTTGAGGTCTGGACTCTGAGGTGGTCGGTCTAGTATTCTGATAACACCAGCAGCTTTTTTTTGTTCATTTTTTGTTGTCTATTTCTTTTCTCAGTAACAGCTTATGACAGCTCCACATCCTTTCAGACCCATAGTATTGAATTGTCTTCTCAAGAAGGATGGACAGAAATACATGTGGATTTTTTTCAGATCTGATGCTGGAGTGAGGAGTGATGAATATTTATGAGTTTGTCTGCGTGTGTCCATGAGAAGTAGCTGTTTCGCTCCATTGTCAGTGTGAATCGGTCATTCTCGGAGGCCAACTCTAGATTGATTAAATGTGCCAGAATGACCGTGACCACACAGGAACATGTGTGGGTGTGTTTACCCTTAAGTCACTCTGTTTGTTTTTGTCTATGTGACAGTCTGTGACACTCTTGAGACACAAAGGGACAAAGCACTTAACTCACATGTGCATCCACACACACACAGTTGCACACAACTTTCCATCAACGTGCACTAACCTTTGCGCTCTCTCTCGCTCTCTCTCTCTCTCTCTCTCTCTCTCTCTCTCTTCTCTCTCTCTCGCTCTCTCTCTGTCTCTCTCTGCTCTCTCTCTCTCTCTCTCTCTTTCTCTCTCTCTCTCTCTCTCTCTCTCTCTCTCTTCAGATGAACCGGCCCATCCAGGTGAAGCCAGCAGACAGCGAAGGACGGGGAGGTAATTAACCTTCTTTTACATACATGAACGAACACATTCACATTCACACCTCCCCAAACATGCCCATGTGGATGCTATGCAGCATGTGTAGAGTGGCATTAATATAGGTCAAACACCTCTGTTGACTCTCCATCTGTCTGGGCCTTCCTGGTTCACTGTCACTCGGCCCAGTTCAAAGACACATTAGGACTTTTTACCCTTCATGTTCCCGGACTAACAGCTCCTTCTGATTACAGATGAGACATGCGTTTAAAAGTCCTTCCTCCAAATGCAGCTACACAAGCTCTTTTTTTTCAAATACACTTTAAAAATGAAGGTAGCTAGAAGGGTTCTTTGGAGAGAAGCCAAAGTAGAACCGTCTTTAGTTCTCTAATGAACCTTTCAGTGGATGGCTCTTCAAAGACTTGTTGTAGATGAGAGGTGTGAAGATCCTAATTGTTTTTAATTTTTTACCCAGTTTTTCTCCCCAGCTCATGCCCACCCACTAGGTAGGTCTCCATCACACAGTGCTCCCAAGCTGGGAGGGTGAAGCCTATATGCTTCCTCCAACACAATGTCACTGGACAGTTCAGTGAACTTGGAGGAGAATGTTAACTCCCAATTCTTTTATATGAGCTAACAGAAATCGTGTAGGCTAGCATTGCATTGATGGATGGAGGGACAGGGAGGTCCATCCTACCCACCCAAAGACAGAGTGACCTGCCCACAGATGGCTGTGGCATTTCTCTGCCAGCATCTTTGTATAGAGAGCCCTAAGAACCTTTTTTAATGTCTACAAAATCTCCACATAATACAAAAGTTCTACACTAATTATAGGTTTTGCCTACAAGCATACAATTGCAAATACAGTTGCAATAATGTAGCAGAAGCAGGTCATGACTAAGCTGGGTTCAGTTTTGAGAAAGCATTCTCAATACTAGTTTTGTTTTGCAAACAAAATTGGCAATAGCATGCTTTTGTGCCTTTTATAGCAGACAGTAGTAGCATGTTGCACAGGCTTGTGATGAACCATGGGATCTGTATTGCATGAACCATGGGTTTGTAAGTTTCTATGTAACTGACAAAATTAACCGCCATTGTGCCCAGTGGTAAACAAAAATGTTCCAAAGCTCATACATTTTGCTATATGCGCATTTTTTCTTCAAATGTCAATGGATCCTCTGAATTAGTAGGTCATTTTTCAGTCCAAATACTAATAATACTAAATACTCACTACAAGCAAGCTAGCCCTCCTGTGCATTAAAATGTCTTATGAAAGTAAAACTACTATTAAACACCTTTAAGTAAGAACAGCAGCTACTCAAAATGTAGGCCCTTTCTGTCAAAGTTACTTAACTACCACGTTTGACAAAGCTGGCTGGCTGTGTGTGGGGTATTTTGCTGAGGTAATCTTACATGTATTAATTTTTGTATTTTGATGCTTTAACAATCTCAAGAATGTTTGTGAGGCAAAATATATTGACTTTGGAACATTTCTGTTTATCATGGGCCATGTAATTTTCATGGAAAATGTAATTTTCTTTTTGCCATAGAGACAAACTACCTCAACTCGGAATTGCTAATATGGGCATGATGACAACTATAGAATGGTGCACAACTAACAACTACAGAGATTGACTATAATACTTTTGGTTATGTTGAAATTTCATTCATTTCTGGTGTTCATTTTCCTACCATCTCAAATTCCACATATAAATGCTTTTAGTTCAGTGACAATGACATTTGGTAAGATTGAGTGTCATTTGATAAATGAGTTTGTTTAGAATTTTAATTAAATCATGCTCATCCTTGGTTGTAGTGGTTAAGGTATTCTATTAAGATATCACTACATAGCCCTGACAAATCAGCAACAACCAGGACATTTTGTCATGCTGGTAGAACTTCAGTAAATGCCAAACTTGTCTTCACTGCCAAGCGAGTCACTCTAACTACAGAGAGAAAAAGACAAATGAGTTTCCAGCCCACCAATCTACTCTGCTGATAAGCATTGGAAATTAACACAGAATTAAAATGCGAGCTTGAATGTAAACAGACATCCACCACATGTTTGACTGGACTTGGGAAAGTAGGGGGAGCCTGAACATTTGTTATTTCAATGAATTCATCAGTTGTTTTTAAATATGTGCCAGTCTTATATCCTTTTAATTGCACACTTTAAAGCATTCTTGAAGGACAGAATCTGGATAGGGAAGTAGGGTGTTAGTCTTGTGTGGGATTGCCAAAGAGCTCACAGAATTAACAGATTTTCTTCTGTGGTGCACTGCAGTTCTGTGGTACAACATAAAATCATTCTGCAGCTTTGCTCATTCCAGGAAATCTGCATTTGTGTTGGTGGCAGTGTGTTACTCTCATAAAACCAGGCACTCAGCACTCTGAGATTCAGACTGAAAATCAACCACAATGACCAGTGACTGAACTCTTCAACCTGCTGTTGTCATGCAAGTTGTAAAAGCTGTATCTGGCTGGCTAGTATGATTAGAATTATTATTATTTTGTTTAGGCTTCACACTGTACTTTATGGGTGGTGAGGTTGCCCTCTGCTTCTTCTCCTTCTTCTCTGTCTTCTTCTTGTTTGTGTTCTTGTTTGTCTTTCTCTCTTTCTTCTTGCTCTTCATCATTATTTTCATCTTCGTCTTCTTATTATTATTTATCATCATCTTCTCCAGGTGCTGCTTTTTGTTTGTGTTCATGTCATTATTTTCATGTATTTGCTGTTTTTGTTGTTGTTCTTCATCATCTTTTTGTTTTTCATCACTTCTCTTTTTTCTTCTTCCTCATTGCCTTTTCATTCTGCTGCAGCTTTTTTTGTGTTATGTCTTTGTGTTTATGTTGTTACTGATTTTTTTTTTGTTGTCATTGTTGTTATTGTTTTTGTCCTTTGTTCTTTATTGTCATCATCATCATCATCGTTATGACAATCAACATCTTTTTCTTCTGCTGCTGATGTTTCTCCTTCTTCTTCTTCTTCTTCTTCTTCTTCTTCTTCATGTTTTCATTATCTTCATTATCATCATCACGATGACAATCACCATCTTTTTTTTTCTTCTGATGGTGCTGTTTCTTCTTCTGTCTCCTTCTCCTCCTTCTTCTTCTTCTTCTTCTTCTCTTTTCTTCATTTTCTTCTTCTTCGTCTCTTTTCTTCATTTTCTTCTTCTTCTTCTCTTTTCTTCATTTTCTTCTTTTTCTTCTTCTTCTGTCTCTTCTTTTTCTTCTTCTCCTTCTTCTTCTTCTGTCTCTTCTTCTTCTTCTTCTTCTTCAAGTTTTTCATTATCATAATCATCATGAAAATCATCTTTTTCTTCTGCTACTATTGTTTGTTCTTCTTCTTCTTTTTTTTCTTCTTCTTCTTCTTCTTCTTCTTCTTCTTCTTCTTTGTTTGCTCAGGTGCTGTGTGTTTTGAATGAGTTGCTGATTGACAGTAAATGGTCCTCACTTGATGACAGTGAGAAGTTTGTGTTGTTAGTCACAGTGTTGGCACGGATGTGGTCTGAGTGTGGAGTTTGTGATTTACAGGGTTGTGCGTGAATCAGACGGTTTGTTCTGTCACTCTAATCCCATTCACATCAGAGTGCTGTCAGATGGCCACTTTAATTAACCACCATCCAAAAACAGGCCAAGCAGTGACATGGCCTGGGCCTGAGCCAATCAGCTTTCTCAGCCAGATAAATTAGACATGGTGTGTAAAAGAGAGAGGATTGATGAGGCCAATATCAATTACCATTCTCTTTCTCTTTCTGTCTGCGAGATGGAGGGAGAGGAGAAATAGAGCAGAGACAGACAAATGAAATACACAGGGCTCTGGTGCCTGAGGAGTGTCAGACAGACTCTGTAGTGGGTGGGTGTGTGTGTGTGTGTGTGTGTGAGAGAGAGATAGATAAGTTGAGTGAAATAGGGGGTTCCAGGCAGACTGAACAGAGATGTTGAGTTGTAATGGTGGCTGGACTTGAGTGGACAGAGCAGGCAAGTGAAGAACTTCTCCAGCTGACAATGACAGCAGATTTACAACTCAATTTAGAGGACAGGAGGGGGGCAGCTCAGAAAAGAGAGACAGAGACTTCTGCAGGTGTCTTAGCATTCACATCTCAGTGCATTGTGCAAAAGCATGTCTAGATACTCTATCAGTGCATTCTGACACCAAATACACAGTTTGGCATTCAAGTGAGCATTGAAACTTTTTAGATAGACTACAGTGTTACTTACGATCTTCATTCATATTTTGAAGACACACCTTCTTTAAGCATCTTTTATTTGAACATATGCAAAAATATCCTAATATTTTTATATATTTTGATGAATCTACAACATAACCATCTTTGTCAAACCATCTTCTCAAAGTTGGATGACTACCTCTAGAGTCATGCCCCGCTGTACCACTATATTGTAGAATTGGATTCTGTCCACTCTGTATTTCATGATATTGCCCTTGAATAGAAAAAGCTACAGAGCCCAAACAAAAACTCCAAAGAGCCCTGCCAACACAATTGGTTTGATTACATGCGATTGGAAAGGTAATGGATTCACAACGAAGGTGAGCCAGGCAAGATTTCACAATGCGCTTTTAGACAATGGAAGGTTAGAGAGAAGCCAGCTGTCATTTGGAAAGTGTTACAGGATGACCAGCAGAAGGAACAACAGTTACATGGAGAACAATTAGCCATGAAGTGCATTGTAGTCCCCTCCTCTCCCAAACCCAAACAAAACTCCTCTGCTAAAAAAGTAAGCATAGAGATGCATATTTAAAATTTGAGCATTTTGATAAATCAGAGCTGTTTTTGAACAATGCTCATGTTTGGAGAAAGAAGGGTTGTGAGTATAATCCAAAAAACATCATACCCACAGTGAAGTATGGAGGAGGGAGCATCAACCTTGCTGCGCCATTAGGCGTCATCAAAGGAAACATGAATGGAACGACATACCGGAACATATTAGAGGAGAATTTAATCTCATAGGCCAAAAAAGAAGAGAAGACAGAGGTTTTAATTAGACAGCAACCCCAAAGA